TTTTCTCATTCTGGTGATGTTTTATTCTATTTTACTAAGTAGGATGGGAATTAGAGTGTTTAGCAGGTGAATTTGTCAACATTTAATGTCACATACTGTGGTTAACTTATTGCTTTTCTAATGCATGACTGCTAATGCTTGAAATGCATTAGCCTATCTCTATCTTTTTTTGGGAGGGGAGGGGGAAATCGAGCATAAACAATAGGTACTTGCTAATTGGAAGTTTAGGATTTTGGCCTTTTTGGTGGTTTTTTCCTTGGCTAATTATAATCAGCCAATACTTTTTTTTTTGGAAGTACTACCTAATTATTTTTTCGAGTCTTGGCTGATAGCAGTCGGAATTTTGGAGTCAATTTTATCTTTCACGCTGATTTTTACTTTTCCAGGTCTGTTGTTCTGTTTCTCAGAGATCTGGTATTTATAAAGTTCATGTTATGTTCTGAAAATTTTTTCCCTTGAGAATTTTTCTCAGTTTGCTACAGTCAAGAAAAGAAAATATTAACTAGATTTGGCCATGTAGTATGGGTACTGTGTAACTCCACTTTCTCTTTTTGTCTTTCTGCTTCACTCTCTCGTGATCTCCTAGAAATTCCTCACTCAAAGTTACTGGTTTGGTGCTGTCTATAAACTGTATATAGCGGAACCCTTTTTTTTGGTTTCTACATATCCATTTTTCCTGGTTACGAAATGAGGAATTGAGATATACAATCAAGGGATGGTTTTTATACTTTTTTTTTTGGAGTGGTGCATGATTCACCTCTCAAGGTCATATACATATCTATACTTATTATCCCTTTTTTCTAATGAGATTCCTTTCGATTGATCAGCATCAAAGGGAATACCCACAATAATAGATTACCTGAAATACACTAATAAGCAAACACTATTTGGTTGGAAGATAGAAAAATCAATTCCAAGTGCAGTACATAAGTTGCGATTGGCCTTTATGTGAGCTACTCTATTCCATTCTGTTATGAGTGCTCTGATATCCGCAACCGCATAATGAAGCACTCTATCGTCAGGAATGATGATATTGGACTGGTAAATCGGACTAAACTCAGGCTTTACTTTTTTTTCATGGTCACTTCTCAGATTAAGAAACTCAATTCCAGATTTAGAAAGCTTTAATTATGTATTGTATGTGAAATTTGGTGAATTTGCTAAACTTTTTCTTATTTAGTCTCTTTTTTGGGTTTTTATTTCTCATGGCTGTCAGCCTTATAAAATCTGATAATGGCCTAGAAAATGATAAGATAGAGGTACTAAATTTGTCTTTTAAGATTTAATTGTGAGTTGCCATATCTGTCTTTGTAAAAATTTGGCTGCTATTTATGCTATTGGGTCACATTAGGTCAAATGTAAGTGGGCAGTTTTTGGTTGGGAACGGTAGTATACATATTTTGCGGAACTGTGTTAACAAAATGGCACTTCTCACATGTGCAAAAACATCTGATCAGAGGTTGTTTTCATTAGGTAGAAATCGAAATGTTGATATTTTGGATAGTTAATTTTAGTGTAAATTTTTGTTTGTTTGAATGGTGTTATTTTCATGACCTTACTATATTGTGTATGGAAGTGGTAATTAGTTTTATGGATCTAGCAAATTCAATGTTTACTTTGTTTTGGTCTCTAATTTGTGGGGAATTTTATTAGGTTGATATATTAATCATGAAGGAAAAAAGCTGCCATAGTTGTTGCCATCTTTTAGTTCGTAGTGGTCTTTAAGATATTAGTTTCTTGTGCAATTTTTTGTGGTGATTGAATTTTAAGGTATTGGCTTAACTACATGAATGGAAATTAATCAATTTGAATGGAAATTGGAGTTGGGAGAGTGAAAATAGCTATTCTATTTTGTTGATTTTAAGTCGTGCAAGATTTTTCACTCAACAGGCTCATGCGCATCAGGTGCTCAATTTCCATTCAAATTAATTAGTTTCCCATTTGAGGATGAATTGGTCAAAAATTGATAGTTTAGATACTAAATGCGTTATACCAGAAAATTCGAGGATGAAATGTATTCATAATCAAAATTTAGGGATGAAAAGTGACATTTTTCCTTAAATGTTCTATTCATTCACCAAAAAAAGAATTAACTTGCTGCATAACTGTAGTTTTGCCTCTTTAATCATAGACTACGATGTTTAGTAGCTTAGAAATTCTTGTTAGAAAATTCAGTTTTAGTTGACTTAAATCTATATTTGCAAAACATGGTGTTCTCTTAGATTTGTAACATCTCAGTAAGATAAAGTCTGGAAAACTGAACCTTACAACAAATTTATTTTACTTTGTAAAAATGAACTTAATTGAAGAAAGCTTACACAGGAAATTTTGCAAAAAAACATGAAGATGGTGGTCCAATTGATAGGTTCAAAGAGGTGAATGTGTTATAGACCTTCAATTTGTCTTGAAATTTTTATACAGGAAAGAACTTTACGAAAGGGCATATTACTTTTGAAGAAGATTTGGTAAAACTCACTGATTTGTTTTAACAGGATGGATAATCTGTAGTAAATATGACACATCCAGATGTTCCAGTATGAGTTGCCTCTACTTTGAGATAAATGACACATACTTCTTCCTAGAGTTTGAGAATACAATCACTGCTTCGACACATTCAATTTTTTCCCCTTTTTTTGTTCTTTTGGTGTTAGTTTTCTAAGTATATTATTGGTTGTTGTTACAGGAAGGAATATGAAGACTTGAAGTTGACATCTCTAACAAGTAGTTAAAGCTGGTAATATTTATTTGTGTTCTACCATTTATACTATAAACCATATTGTCGTTTTCTATAAACAGTCTCTCACCTAATTTAGCCTATCTTGATTGCATTATTGATAAAGATGTGCTGAGAAATGAGCTTCAGTTATGGATCCAAATGGTGTTTTTTTCTATTCCTCATGAGATTTGCTTCGGTTGTATGATTTCTTCTCAAGTTAAATTGAAAAGTTATTCTGTTTATTGATTTTATTACATGGACGCTTATCTTGGGAGATTGGTATTGATCATCATTTAAGCTGTGAGGAATGAATGAAAAAAAACATACCTAGCAGAAAACCCTTCACCTTTTTTCGAGTTCTTTGGGGCATTGTGATTTCTTTCACTAGCTGGTCCTTATTGAATCATCAAAACAAATCTAATCTTTTTATGTTGGCAAACCTCAATCCTCTCCTCTTTTGAATACCTTTGATTACTCCTTTTTAGAACCCAAGCAGACCATAACTAGGGAAAATACGAGGTTATGATTGTATAGAGACTCGTCCTAAGGATGGCTTTTGAAAACTTATCATTGGTAGGGTTTCAAAAGGCATTCTTGGAGTTGCTGGAGTTATAAGGAATTGATATGGATTTTGGACCATCGGATCAGTAAAAGATTAGGAATAACTTCCAATCTTCTAGCTGAACTTTTGGGATTGAGAGGAGGACTAAGGATAACTATAGATCATTATTGCTACAAACCGGAATTGGAAGTTGATGCTATTAATATTTTTAATCTTTTAAACCAATATGATACTGCTATTTACAATGTGCTATGGTTATATCTGATTGTAGGTATCTTATCGTATTTTGGCAGCAAGTCTTGATCAAAGCATATAAGCAGTGAAGCAAATCAGATGGTAGATTGTTTAGCTAATGTATAGGATGCTAACAACAGGTATCTTTTATTATGATGTTATGCCCCACCATTTTTAGTTGCAGCTAGATGACTGTTTGGGGATTTTATTCTCGTTTTGTATCTCAATATGATTGCATATTATTTTAAAGTTCCTTTTATGCAAAAAAAATTCCAAAACTACAAAAAGTTAAAACTGTAGCTTATTTTCACTATTTAATAAAACTACAAAAGCATAGCTTATTTTCACTACGAATGCACTTTTATGTAACTTTTCATATTTAATATCTAAATTTGAATAATTGGGCATTTATGGGCACGATTGAAATTACACCGCACATCGTGCGGTGTTATCCTCCTAGTTTTATAATAAACGCATTAGATGAATGCGTTTTTTGTTTACAATATGTACCACTTTTTTTCATTTCTTCATTCTGGACTTCGATTATGTAAGGTTTTTGTTTTAAATATTATCTTATTATTTTATCGAAGTTATTATTAATTTAGCTCACTAATGGAAGTCAAGATCCAAAAAAATTGTTATTTCATAGTTGTTATTAATTTAGTTGGTAGAGATTTCATTTCAGGTTTGCAAAAGGCTTAAAGGTTTTGAACTTTGGATTTTACATATGTATACACTAATTTTGTATCTCAAATGTTGGTAGTAAAATTCAAAAAGTATTATAATAATATTATTACGAAAGGAAAACTAGTAGGTTTTGTATTTAATATAAATTAAATACGTGAAAGTAAAAAAAAGAAATTACCCACTTTTTACCAACTCTTTATGGGTTTCTTCTATTAGTTGAATAAAGTACTAGCTATGGGGGCAGGCATTTTACTCTGAATCATATAATTTATGTTAAATATATAAATGTTTGTAAGTAAAATTTAAAAAGTGTTATACTAATATTTTTATGAAAGGAAAACTAGTATGTTTTGTATTTAACATAAATTAAATATTTGAAAGTTAAAACAAAATTAAATTGCCCATAACATACCAGTTCTTTATGAAAAACTTGTAGGTTTTATATTTAACGTAAATTAATTGCGCGAAAGTAACACTCGTAGGTAATTTAATTAGTTTAATCAGTTACTTAATTTGTTGACAAGAAACAAGTTTCTTTTGCAAAATTTGGCCATTAGGTTTCTCCAAATAATTAGGGTATAAAGGCAAATTTTCACAATCTTTTGTTAGCAATGAGCTCCAATTTCCTTCTAAGGAGGGCAGTGCTTAATTTATATCACCTGTTAAGCAAACACTTGCATATTCAAATATGTCATAAGATGATATAATATCACATCTAATTTCATATACTAAATTTACTTGGTTTTCAATCCAAATTCTCTTATACAATAAGAATTCTTATAACAAGACAACTACAATAAATCATTTGAGAATGCCTCCAGAGTAACACAACTTTTGCCTTCTGACTCTTTTAGATGGTGGCCGCAAGGGTAGATGCTGATTTTTACCACGACCTTTACAAGTGTCACGCTTATTTCGATCAACATGTTCTTGTGTTTGATGTTGCAAATCAAACTCCAGATGTGTCTGATCATGCTTATCACTTTGCACATGCATCAGATCATGTTCACCAGCTTGTGCATGTGTTGTATCAGCTTCTGTATGTTCATCCCTTGACCTTGCTCGAGATTGATTTCAAAGTCCGATCACATGTCTGATTGAACTCATTAGCTGTTTCCTCATTTCCCACGTCTCTAGTCTCTTGATTCAACATATGATCTCCTACAAACTCATCCTGACTTAAAATCTGATTTTGTACACTGTTTTGATCAGTTTGGACGTGTTTTCGCCTTCCCCCTCTATTTCTTTGTGAACCTTCTGTGTGGCTCTTCGAACACGTGCCCGTGGAACTACATGTTGCAACTCTTCATCCATTGAGAGCGGCATTATTGGATTCAATGGTAGGAGTTTCAATCTCATCTCACATCCAATGGCACGCATAGTTGATTGGCACATATCCCGAATATCAGTGAGAGCAGGAACAGAGATGGCCTCATCATGTGGTAATGCTTCAAGTGATCTATAATAGACACGATGCAATGTATCTACCTGAAATGTTATCAAATAAATTCTAATGCTGCCAATACAAAACTTTAAACAAAGTAGTCAATTAAAAATATCTAAATAATGGTTACCATCATCTCATTAGCTGGTGCAATACCCTGATAACCAGCTGGTAATAGTGGTCTCAATGATGGGTTGCCAATAAGCAATCTTGTACGCTGCTTATACCAAGTCATATACTCTAAGCTAGCCTCACCAGGAACCTCCTCGAGTTCACCTTCTTGTATACTTGAAGCTCGATCCATCACATTTGGATGTGGCGGTAGTGTTTAAGGGTCCAATCTGTATTTCGTCTACCTCGACGATCCACTTGATGCAAACTCCAATCCGTGTCACATGGTGCCGGAATATGCTGAACAAATCCAAATTGTCGCATACACCTATCTGGTAGGTGTAGCTCTACTATATCCCAACAAATAAGTGCAGTTCGACTACGCTACAATTCAGAACTAGCCAAACAACACTGAGGCAATGTCTCTAAAATGTGTTGAGGATATGGTTGCCATACAAACTATGAATAACAAAATGGAAAATTACAAAATAAACTAAAAAAATTTGGTTGTAACTTGCAATTTACCATGATACATGAAATATGCATGAAATAAATACTTACATGATCATCTCTCAAGCTATCTAGTTGATCTCGATATACAACTAATACATGCATTGCTACTCTAGAAAGGTTAAAATCGACATTCCACCTACAGAATAATCACAATACACCGTCATTGTTACGGTCATGTATCTAAATTATATACCTAATATATCCTAACACTAATAGGCAAATACAAACTAACCTTGCACCATAAGGACTCTCAGCTGGCAACTCCATTTTAGGCACTGGCCTATCTGGACATAAGGTAGGAAATCGTTCCCATGTCCAAAGCTAAAACAAAAATTAGGATATTTAACAAAATAGGTCATAATTGTTAGAAACCAAAAAAAAAATTCAAAGAGTTTTAGTGAAAATACCTGTAAAAGAACCAATGGTCCAGCAATCTCTTGTGAGGTACAAAGAGTAGCTCTACATAGTCCACGATATAAAAAAGCAAGAACTGCACTCCCCCAACTATATGTTCGAGTAACAGTAAAATCTCTTAGAAATGACAAATACATTAAGCTGACCATGTTGCCAGATTTATCTGAAAACAGGTGACCACCAATAAGCTGTAAAATACGCATCCTAGCATGACATCTAATATCATCCTGATGCATCACTAGGAAGTCTGACAGCTAAGGGAGCATCTAAACAACCCAATAATAGTTTCCTCCCTTAATATCATCTGTTTAGGTCGAAATCCTAACAAGTCCTCACAAATCGGCAACCAATCCTCTGATTTTGAGTGCATGAAGTTGTAGGTGCAGGTAATATCGGAGATTCAACATCTTGTGTCAGCAAATTTACATATGGAGCCATTTCCTTACTGGTGAAGATGTTATTGCCCTCCTGACAATTGACAACTGATTCTCGTACAATGTATAGATGAACCATAGTATTTGGTACTCAGCTGCTAAAGAAAATATCAAATCCATTCCCTCTTCGTTCATTATTAGTAATGGGCAAAATTTGAAACCCCACGGTCCATGATCAGGATATTTGCAGATGAGCTTCAAATCTATAGTTATTGTATCCACTCCAATATATGAGTGTATATTACTTAGTAAGTCTCCAAATCTTATCCTGTGGTTGATTGTAACTATCTTGCCAATTGGGCCTATAAATCCCAAATCAGGATAATATTGGATATGACCATCCCAATAAAAGCAAGTTTCAATGGATGTTGAAGATCCATTAAAACATATGCTAACAAGCCTTCAAATGCAATGTAAACTACAGTCAATTCATCTCGAATGTTGAAAAATACTATAAATAAAAAGTATATTTTAAACCAGTCATATCTTGTAAATGTAGGTAACTTCTAAATACAACAGAAGCAAAAATTCCAACCTTGGAAGCTCAACATATAAAAGTATACTAGTAGAAGAAATGTCATAAACACACGGAAGCCATTTATATTTCAACCAAAAATAGTGTATGAAAAAAAAAAGAAAAAGAAATTCAGCACTCACTTTGAAGAGAATGAATACTCTGGCAACAATTTATCCTTTGAATCTGCAAAAAATAAACTTACTTTAAGTTTGAGGGAAAAAAAAATTTCAGCACTTACTTGAGAGGGAAAAAGAAAGAAAGAAAGAAACCTGAGAGTAGATGATCTGTAGAATTTGAGAAAATTCCAGAATCTCTTTGTCTAATACTCTCGCCCCTTGTAGGGTATCTTCCTCTGTCAATAAACCCCAAAGAATCATCTCAGGTTTGCTTTTTGCTCTTTAAAATAATTAAATGCATCCATTACATAAACCCTAAATTTGGGATTTTAAGTATTACCTGATAATATGCCTAATTAGCTCAGCAGTCTCCCAATCACCACCCTTGCTCTTACGTTGGCTGCGAATGTGGGATAAGATGTAAGAAAAAATTGAATGGGTGGTGCATTTTGTTTGCCGCCTGAAGAAGTTAGGGTAGAAAAAGAGAGGGATTGAGGGGAAATTAGTTTTTAGACCCCTTATGAAGTACCGGGGAGTAGAACAGGCTTCTTAGATATGATAAACAACTCATTTAGCAAATGCGTTTTTTTATTAATAAACGCATTTCAGAAATGGGTTTTAAGGACAAAAAACGCATTCATCCTATGAGACTTTTTAAAATAAGGCATTCTAATAATGCGTTATTTAACCAATTTTTTATATTAAAATAAATTGATGAAAATTAAAATAACGCATTTGACAATTGCGATTTTATTTATAAAAACGCATTTCCTGGATGCGTTTTTCATCCTTTGGGAAGATACTAAAAAATCACCGCCCTTTGGGAAGTTAGTTTAAAAAGTCACACTTTTTGGGAATTTACTCCATTTACTTCCTAGTCACAGTGAGCAGTGGTCAGATCACGATCACGTTATGTGGTTTTAAAATTCACAAGTCAACCCTCAAAATGAATGCCATCCAACAATAATATATCATTCTCGGCAATTGATTATTCTTCTCAAATCAGTATTTTATAAATCATCATTTTATTATTATGGAATTAAAAGAGTTTTGGCCAATGGTTTAAAGGAAATGTTAGTTCAGTTTTTCTGAGAAATGTTCAGTCGAAAAAGTTGAATGAGAATATGTCGGTTTGCAAACATAGTTGCTGCTTTAGAAAGTTTGGCAAACAAGCCAACAACTTGATACAATCGTCATCCGGGAATACCAAGCCTTCTATACTAAAACAATATAAATATAAAATATATATATATATATATATATATATATATATATATATATATATATATATATGAGGGCAGTTATTTTAATCAGAGTTGTCTCACTCCTACGTGGCATGCTTAATTGAACAGAATTAATGGGTTATAGGTCACTTGGATTTTACCTATATTGAATCCTATTTGGATTGTATTATATATTTAAAAATTATCTCTAATTTTAAAATAACTTTAAAAAACAACTGATTTTATCATAATAGTACTTGCTTTTATCAAATTATTACATAGAACTATAGTAAATCTTTTCTAAATCACAATTATTGAAAATTTACATATCTCATAAATTACTTCCTTTCACCACCATATCGTTGATTAATATTCAAATTATTCATCATCTTTTCCCTTATTGTTATTATCTTGTAAAATACAAAATTTTAATTATCTAAAAAATATTTAAAAAAGAATGTCCACCAAGTTCTTAATATGGGGTACATTATTTGATGTATACTATTATATTACAATGAAAGTACGTAAACAAATTTTTAAAAATTAGTAAATAATTGAACATTTAGAATACATTAAGTTTTTAAAGTTAATATGAGTGAACACGTAGGATTGTTGTTAATTTTTGCATTTAAATTATTCATATTTGTATAAATTCACAATAAATAAAAAAAGACCGTGCTAAGGTACGGACAAAATTCTAGTTATGTAATAAGTAAAAGAATAATCAATTGCAAAGTAAGAAGTGTTTCATTTCAAGGGTTGACTAGTGTACTTTTTAAAATCAATTGTCCCATGATCATGTCTAACCACCTCCTTGAATGTTGGTGATTAACCCTAATTTTGAACTTGTACTACTTAACTATTTATTATTAAGAATCCGCATACTCCTTGGATTTTTATACAATAGTTTGATTGGAAATAATTTGTACAGCACTGACTTAATGCAAGTTGGAATTGCTTGTTTTGTAACCCCAACAATTGCATCTTCCATGACTTCGCCTATCGTAAGTCAAAGGTTTTGCATCACATTTTGCTTAAACAATGTATCAAAACATATCAAATTGGCCTTCGAATTGAGGACGTTAGACAAAACCATAGAGATAAGGTGAAGGTTTTTTTTTTTTTTTTTTGCGACTTTCTTTACAGGAATAGGGTGAATTTGCTCATATGCCCTTCAATATTTATGAACATTTTGATTGTTTTCAACTTATACTTTCTTCATTTTCGATCTCGAGTATTGATTTTCAATTTAGTTTTGGCAGGTTTGTACCTTGACAAATCAACTTGTATTGACCCATGAGTTTCATAAAATTATCAAACTTACAATGTACAAGCTCTGTGAAGAATGGACGGTATTACATGATTACATCACCAGTAATTGAATGGGATATATACAGTCTAGTGGTCAAGGGACTATTGGCTCCGTTTGGATTAGCTGTTTTTTGGATTGTTTTTCAAAAACACCACTGTAGCATTTCGAATCTGAAAAACAAGTCCGTTTGGATTAGTTGTTTTTGGGGTTGTTTTTCAAAAACTATATGAAAAACTTTTACTGTAAATTTTTTTGGATTATTTTTAGAGGTATTTTTGAAACATATTTTGAGTATTTTTAGAATATTATAATTTTTATATAAATATACATTTATTCATTTATAATACATTTATATTTACAAATGTATAAATGTATATTATTATAAATTATAAATTATAAATGAATATTATATAAATGTATAAATGTATAAATTATAATTTTTATATAAATATACATTTATGCATTTATAATACATTTATAAATAAATATATTTATATAAAAATATATAAATGTATTATATTCTTATAATACATAATATAAATATATTTATAAATGTATAAGTGTATATTATTATAAATGTATAAATTATAAATGAATATTATAAATATATTATAAATTATAAGTGTATATTATTATAAATGTATAAATTAATATATATAAATATATATTATTATTATGTAGAAATGTATTTATATAATTAATATAAATGTATATGTGCATTAATATTATGTATAAATGTAAAATTAATATTATGTATATTAATATAAATGTATAAATGTATTATATTATATATAATACATAATATAAATGTATATTTAAATGTATAAGTGTATGTTATTAAAATGTATAAATTATAAATGAATATTATATAAATGTATAAATTAATATATTATAAATATGTTTTAATATTATGTTGAAATGTATTAATATAATTAATATAAATGTATACATGTATTAATATAATTAATATAAATGTATGCATGTATTAATATTATGTATAAATGTAAAATTAATATTATGTATATTAATATAAATGTATAAATGTATTATATTATATATAATACATAATATAAATGTACATTTAAATGTATAAGTGTATGTTATTAAAAATGTATAAATTATAAATGAATATTATATAAATGTATAAATTAATATATTATAAATATGTTTTAATATTATGTTGAAATGTATTAATATAATTAATATAAATGTATACATGTATTAATATTATGTATAAATGTAAATTAATATTATGTATATTAATATAAATGTATAAATGTATTATATTATATATAATACATAATATAAATGTACATTTAAATGTATAAGTGTATGTTATTAAAAATGTATAAATTATAAATGAATATTATATAAATGTATAAATTAATATATTATAAATATGTTTTAATATTATGTTGAAATGTATTAATATAATTAATTATATATGTATACATGTATTAATATTATGTATAAATGTAAAATTAATATATGTATATTAATATAAATGTATAAATGTATTATATTATATATAATATATAATATAAATGTCTATTATAAATATACATAAATATAAATATATTATGTATAAATGTACATTTATATAAATGTATAATATATTATATATTATATTATATATAATTTATATATCATATAATATTTATGTAAATATATTATAAATATATAAAAATATATTTTAAATAAAATAAAATATTTATGATATGTATATGTAAATATATAATATTAGAAATGTATAATATATATAATATACATTAATATTAATATAATTTATATATAATATACATAATTGAAATATACATATTAATATATATTATAAAACAAAATTGCATAAATATATTTATAAATTTATATATAAATAAACGTATTTATATAAATCTATAATATTTATTTCAATTGATATAATATATATAACATTATACATAATTGAAATAAATATATTTATATTAATATAATATATAATATACATAATTGAATATACATATTAAAATACATAATTGAAATATACATATTAAAATATATAATTAAAATATATTAAAATATAATTGAAATATACATATAAAATACATAATTAAAATATACAAATTGAAATATACTTATTAAAATATACAAATTAAATATGCATAATTGAAATATATTTGGAGTTGTTTTTGATATATTGTTTGGATTGGTGTTTTTGAAGTTGTTTTTGAAATACACATTTACTGTAACATTTGGAATGTGAAAAACAGTTTTTCAAAAACAGGCTCAAAAACACCAATCCAAACGTACCCTATGTTTTTGAAGGCACTGAAGATGATGCAATTTGAAATTTTGCCACGTCACTTTTTTTCCAATGGAAATTTTAAACCTCACAAGAAGAAGAAAGAGGAGGAAATGATTGACAACAAACAAAGATCTTGCAATTGACTAGTTTTTTATTTTTTATTTTTTAAATTTAACTAGCAAGTAGTAGTATATAACATGGCTGAATTGTCTGAGTCGGGAAAATATGAGGCTGAACATATCCAGGATTATCCAAGTACGCCCATTTTAACTTGGGTTTAATTTTTGGGAGAATTGTAATTTTGGTCCCCAATCTATAGTGTATGCACGGAATTATCCCCAATCTATTTCGAAAATCAATTTTGGTCCCCAATCAATTTTGCACTAAAGTGGACAATTAACGGAATCTCTTCAATTTCAATCGGAACTAAGTCACATGAGATCACGTGCCGGCACCTAAAATCCTTTTTCAATTTTTTAATTTCTAAAACACATTTTTTCTAGTGGCTTGGCTTTTTGCATGGACACTCCTGTCCCTTTAACTAGATCAATCTCTTCCTTGCAATTCTTTTCCAATCAAAACTCTGAATTAGAGATCTCAAGGCAAACCCACCACCCACTGTGCTAGGCCAGAACCAGGGCAAGATCTCCTTCCCATCCCAAATGGAATCAGCTTTGATGGCTGAACCTGCAAGTCTTCGAATCTCTTTGGCTTGAAGCTTGTTGGATCATCCCAAACATTTGGGTCCCTGTGAATTATCCATGCATTAACTAGCAAAATTGTGCCTCGCGATATATTGTATTCCCCAATTTTATAGTCATTGGACGACTCATGTGGCACTAGCATTGTGCTGCTGGGTACAACCGAAGTGTTTCTGAATAATGTTATGAAGATAAGGAAAGATTGGATAGATCATGTTCGTCGACCAATCGATCAGTCCCTACTTGAGCATCCAATTCAGCTCGAGCTTTCTCTAGCACCTCGGGATGGTTGAGCAAAAAAGACAAGGCCCATTCTATAGTTACCGATGAAGTGTCTGTTCCAGCCGTAAGCATAACCTACCAATAATATACTAGTGGTTCAATTGAATGCTCATTCCAATTCAATGGTGAAGAATGGCTAATAGGGAAAGAATATGCTTTCCAATATAATCCTTTTGATTTCCAGTTACTATCATCGCTCTTCTCTCTCGGCTGCTTGCTTGTAGGGGGGTGCAATTTTCGACACGACCTGAAAACACGACACGAAATTAATGGGTTTGGGTTGGGTTTTGGGAATTCGAGTTGGACCCGATGAACCCGAAAAAAAACAGGTCGATTTCGGATCAACCCGTGGTGACCTGATATGACCGATATGACCCGTTTACGAATTAAAAATAATTTAATAAATATAAAAATAATTTTATCTAACTAACCTAAGTTATTCTTTTTTTCAAAGGCATTAATTACTTAATCATAATGAATTTATTTAATTTGTGTGAAGTTGAAATTATTATATTTGGACAAATAATATATTATATTATTTTTTACTTTTATACTGTTTTAATTTATTTTATATTTTGTTTGGGATAAAACACTTTTACGGTGTTTAATTTATTTTAAATTTGGTTTGAAATTACTTATTTAAATTTTTATTACTTGATTATGTAATTAGTTTTGTGAGAAATTGATTTTATTAGAAATTACAGTGATAAATTAATAAATTAAAATTAAGTTTCGGGTCATTTCGGGTCGACCCGCCAACCGTCAACCTGAAATTTTCGGGTTCGGGTCAGCATACCTGACCCGTCACGGGTTGGCGGGTCGGGTTCGGGACAACAGATTTTCTGGCGGGTTGACCCGAACCCGACCCGCCAACCTGATTTGGACCTGAATTGCCACCCCTACTTGCTTGCTTACTTATGAAGTAGTACTGCTGCTCTTGTTGTTTGTACAGGAGAGTTGAACTGGGTTCGTCTCTGGCGTTGATTGTAGATTATCTCCATTACTAATGGAGGTAAGAGCGACACTTGGACTTGGAGGCGAAGCTGAGCTTCTTACTCGTGCTGTGGGTTTCTGGGATTTGAAGACGGCGGCCAACAAGAGGAGTAATTTGGATTGTGAGATTACCCCTTTCATGTCTTTGTTTAATACGACAAAAGGTAAGATAAAACTGAAAATATTAAAAAACACGTTTTAAATTAAAAAATTGAAAAAAAGGTTTTAGGTGCCGGCACGTGATCTCACATGACTTAGTTCCGATTGTAATTAGAGAGATTCTGTCAATTGTCCACTTTAGCGTAAAATTGAATAGATTGGGGATCAAAATTAATTTTTAAAATAGATTGGGGATAATTCCGCGCATACACTATAGATTGGGGATCAAAATTACAATTCTCCTTAATTTTTTGTGCCCATATCAAACTAAGCCAATCTATGTAGAAGGCTTGGACCTAGTACGTATATTAAAAGGCCTATCTCTGACTAAAGTGAGGATAAATTACTTGTTACCTGTGTGTTTTATATAGGGAAAATGGCATGTTTCATCCTTACATTTCGCAAAAATATTTTTTTCGTTCCTCACTTTCAAAATGAAGCAAATTTGTCCCTGACATTTAAAAATTAAACCTATTACATCTCTGAACCTAATTTTCAATCTGAATCAAACCATTCAATAATCTAGTAATAAATTTCGAAAATAGAATTGATAGATCACTCGGTCAATTTCATCATATTCACATGACAATTATTAAACTAAAAAAAAATTTATAACATAAAAGGCCATTCTTTTCTTGGAATAGTAGGGTTTTTTTTTGGTAAATCTTTTCATACACCGTTAGTATATCCGCTTGCGAATCTAGATGTGTATCATAAATATAAAATTTGGTGTTTAAATTTAAATTGAAATGATATGGCAGTACATAAAACCGTCAGTGTATACAATGATAATGTAGGAAAGATTAATCTTTCTTTTTTATGTTATAATTTTTTTTTTTCTTTTTGGGTTCATTAAATTTTACATGAATATCAAGTTGAGTTAATCAAGTGATCTACCAATTACACCCCAAAATTTGTAATCAGGATGATTGGTGGTTTGATTCAGATTGAAATTTGGGTTCAGGGATGTAAGAACTTCAGTTTTTAAATGTTAAGGACGAAATTGCTTCGTTTTAAAAGTGAGGGACAAAAAGAATATTTTGTGAAATGTGAAGGATGAAACAGATCATTTTCCCTTTTATATAATGTCACATGAACTTTTTAGAGATTTAAAATAGTCATATAATCCCTATGGTTTTATGTAAATTTTAAGATAAAAAGATGGAATGCACAACCAATTATAGCATTTATACCAAACGTATTTTGAAAGAGTGTGTGATAATGTCAGATGAACTTTTTAGAGTTTTAACATGGTCATATAATCCCTATGGTTTTATGTAAATTTTAAGATAAAAAAGACGAAATGCACAATCAATTATAGCATTATACCAAACGTATTTTGAAAGAGTGTGTGATAAAGTTTTAATATTCATTTAACACCCTTATGATTTGTACAAATATCCACTTTACTTACTTGTGGTTTTTGCATTTATCTACATAATCTTCTTATGTTTTTATACAAGGTTTCAGGGGAGGGGGGAGAGGAAAGGGGAAGGAGAGGAGGAAGAGGAAGGGAGGAGGAGGAAAGAGGAAGGAGAGAAAGAGAGAGAGAGGGAGAAAAGAAAGAAAGGAAAAAAAAAAAAAGAGTCACCCGCCCGATGCCGGCACGGTGGAGTGGCGGCCGGTGGCAGCCAGTTGGTGGAGATGGTGGTAGATTGATTTGTGGGGAGGAAGAAGAAAAAAGACAAGAAAAAATTTTTGTTTGTGTTTGGGCATTTGAGGTATGCATTTAAAAAAATTTGGGGAGTTTGAAATTATTATAATTAAAGTTGTTAAAAATCTTGTAGAAAAAAAAGCTAGACAAAAACTTGAGCTCCAAACAGACAATAGAATATAAGTATACGACTAGGAGCAAGTCACAAAACAAAAACACAAGGAGGAAGAAAAAAAAGAGGAAATTCCACAACAAAGAATACATGGTCCAAGTATTTAGATGCCAGCACTTGACACTTGCTACGCATACAAATTTTTGCCGGAAGTGGCAGATCATTTTCTTAGGCATTGTAAGACCTGGTAAAACTTGAGTATCAACGTCGTCTTTCTGATCCCAAAAGGCAATTCCCAGTCAAAAGAGTACAGAAGACTGCAAGTCCAACTTCCACCATTGCTAGTCCCAGAGAATATCGAGGGCAGCCCCTTCGGCCAGCTCCAAATGGTATCAGTTGAAAGTCTTTCCCTTTCATATCTACACTAATATTCAAGCATCGCTCAGGCAAAAACTCATTTGGATTTTCCCAATACTCGAGCTCTCTTCCAATCCCAGACATTTGTGTAAACTATAGAATTGAACTGGATTTCGTGACCATTTATAATGCAATTTGCTAGTGTCTGTCTTGGAACTGAAAGTAGAGCTGGAGGATACAATCTGAAGGTCTCCTTGACAATTGCCTTGAGATAAGGAGCTTTTGAATATCATCTTCGTTTACTATATCTTTATTTCCAACTGCACCTCTAATCTCTGCTTGTGCCTTCTTCAATATTGCTTCAGGGCTCTTCATCAGTGCTGCCATTGCCCAGATTATCGTAGCTGCAATAGTATCCGACCCCGCACTAAATACATCCTACAAGGAAATATTGAAACAGATTAGCAAAATGGGATTGATCCAAATTCTTAAAGGAAAAACAAAAATGAGAAATCGTTCAAAACGTTCCCACGTTTCATTAAATGAATTTCTTGATCCCTCACCTTTAAAATATTAAATTTACGTTCCTTACAAATTCAAATTAATAATATTTGATCCTTACCTAAATTTTTGACCACTTTTTAATCCAAAATCACTATGTGACCACATGCAATTATTTTTTATATACAAGAAGGCTAGATTCACTTTTTAATGGCAAAAATGAATATAGATTAAATCAGATCCTACTTTTTTAGATGCAAAAGTGAATATGGATCAAGTTATTTATTTAACTATAAATGAGATCTAACATTTTTGCTCCGAAAAAAAATAACAATATGTGGGTCACATAATTGATTCAAGATAAAAATGATCGAAAACCTAGGTTGGAACTAAATTTTATCAAATTAATTTATAAAGGACATAAATTTATAATTTTAAAAGTGAAGGACAAAGAATTTTATTTATTGAAATGTAAGGGCGTTTTGAACCCAAACAAAAAAGTAGGCCCCCTTTGAACAGGTAATTAATCACCATGAGCATTGCTTTGATGTGATCTTGCGTTAGATCAAAGGAAGTTGATTGTTCTTGAAGTAATTGAAGCATGATGTCAAGATATCACCGTTCATGGACTCTGGCCTATTTGGATTTAAGTGTTCGTCGATGAGTTCTTGAAGAAATGAATCTAACTTACTGCAAGTCCTCTCAAGTCGAGAACGCATCCCATTGAGGCTATCAAGCCAACCAATTGAAGAAATATAGTCTGAGAAAAAGAACCCCACGAATGCGGCCTCCATTTCTTGAGGAGATCATGGAATCGTCTTCTTTGTTGATCTTCCTCATCATACCTCTTTCCGAAAAGCAATTCTACAGATAAGCGTACATGAAAGTGATAGTAAAGTCTTACTCAAATTCGTCACTTGAGATGAAGATGCTTCCTTGGATGTCTTTCTGATCCGGAGACTTCATCTTCACGAATACCACACATGACTGCACCCTTCTGTTGCTGAAGGAGAAGAACAGAAAACTTTCTCAGCTCTCTCATTGCTCGCTGTATGGATAGAAGGCGATATCCAAGCCGTTGTAAGAAAGCATTCGGAATCTAGGAACAGTGGCGACTGAAAATGTCGAGTCATGGTTTTTCACAACTTCTTCAGCCATTCTTGTGGATGAAACCACAAGCAGTGGAAAGGATCCAAGCTTAAGAGACATGAGAGGACCATATTTTGGAAATTGCCAAAGTATACATGAGGGGCTGAGGTATCAAACTGAAGCAAGCTTCGAATGACTGGAATCCCCGAGGACCTGGTGGTGGAGGAATTTTTGTTGTTGATGATCTCATCCTGTTCTTTTGAAGAACGCTTAGGACGACAACTAGAAGTGCTGAGATTAAAGCAATCAATATCTCCATCATCTGGCGGAAGTAAGATATGATGCCTTTGTAGGATGCAAATTGATCAGATAGAAGCGAACTCGAATATTTAGACTTTGTTGAGCTTGAATATGAGCTTGAGTTTGAGTTGCGTTGTGGATTTGAACAAAATTGGGTTCTTTTTTTTGGATAATAATTGATGAGAATACCAAGATGTGAGTAGCGGGATACGGATGAGAAGGCGAATTTGCTTGTATCATGAATATTTTTTAATTATTTTTTTATTTCACACACATCATATTAATATAAATATTATATGATAGGTTGTAATTTTATTATTTTTTATTATTAATTTTTTCCTGATGTGAATTAATTATTAGATTCTACTCATTTTTAGTAATTTACATTTATTTCAGAGAGTAGAACGAAAATATCATAACCAAGATCAATTTGATAGTCATCGAAAAGAATTAAAATGAAAGACATTCAGGGGCATTTTTGAAACAAAAAATGTAAGCCCTTTTCGATAATTTAGCCGAAGACAGCAGGGAAAAAAGGCTGGTGTCTTCGTTTTGAAGGGAGAGCCGCCGCACAGCATTAGTGGCAATAAGAATAGGAAATAGCTGAGGCCATTTGGAGAGGAACGATTTTTACATGGCAGACATGGAGCACTACTTTGAATTAGCTTTTGACTTTTCTTCCTTTTTAGCTCTTAGTAGCTTTCTTTTCCTCCGTGTGTCAGAGAAAGCAAAAACACTCAATTGCTCCTGTAGCTTGCTTCTCTTATTGAATAGAATAAATTGAATTTTTCCAATTCTTGGAGACGGTGGCTGCCAACTTTACATGAATTTTTCGCATCAAATATGAACTAATTTCTTTTTTTAGTTAAGAATAACGAAGGTTTTGATTCACCTAAAAATTATGAGATCGATTTAATTTTATTTTTTCTTTTTATTATTGGTATTCGCATATTTTTTTATTACAGCACTTACGATTGTTCAATTAATTGATTTTTCTGAATCCGAATAATTAGTTAATTAGGTAGTCTATTATCAATTGGGGCATTAAATGCGTAATTGTTTAATTGCTTTGAAATAGTGACAACTGGCATAATTAGATTTGTGTCAGAGGAATACGTGGGCTAACCTAAAATAACCCTAGTAGTACGTTATTTGGTTAGAATAGAACTCCTCTAATACGTAAGGCAATTGGAGAATTAAATCTTATGGGTGTACCTAAGCTTATTTCTCAATTAGAGTAGTGACTAACGGGCGTACCTTAATCACCAACACAGTAAGGAGGGGTTGACTGTCATCGCTTGTTTGGCAGTTGTAACCTATTTATTGGTAAATAATTGGAATTGGCTTTGCATCGATGATCAATTAGGTGAACCATTGCTGAAGTTATTTCTTGGCTAGATCCTTAATTATCACCCATTTGATTTTAATAATTTGTTATTTAATTTTTAGTAGCTTCTTAGATTTTATTTGAATTTCTTTGATTGTCACCTTCTGCACAAAAACACCCCCTTTGTTACTGTGAATTTGAAAATAAATAGTTACACCCAGTCCCTGTGGATTCAACCCTGCTTACCACTATTTACAAAAATTAATTTTAGTTTAGCAGGTTTTGATTATTGCACAGGCCTGACACATGTCACTATAGTATTTTTTTTAAATATTCCAAATAATTTACAATCCAAACACACTTATTATACCCTTAAAATGATTGAAATGACGAAAACTATGAATGTTACAAGCTCCTAATTTATTTTATGGCAGCAATAGCACCGTCCATATCAGAATTTCATATCGAGAAGATCTTTCTTATCTTTGGTAGAATTAAAACCTATGGCGAGTAGGCAGCATTGTATCCTTAAAATCATGAAAAATAAAAATTTACAAACTCTATGACTTTAAAAGTTACATGAAACTGTTGGCCACTAACTTAATCAAATTTATTATTATTCTATTTTCTTATCTCTAAATTTTAGATACTGTTGGCCACTGAGTTTTGACACTTGCAAATTTTTAAAATCCTAAGCGATGAGAAGTAATGATCGAGAAACTTTTGTGTATGTTTGTAACTCCATATGATAGTACTAAATCCTAAATGCTTTAAACATTTTTCGTATTCTAGTTTTCAATTTTTTAAAGTTATTTCATATCCAAATAGTATTTAACTATCTTGTAATGCTTTACTAGTTCTCTAAACTTGAAAATTTTGAGTTGGAAGAGCTAGCAATGGCTTATAAGGACTCCCCTCGAATACACTCTTCCCAGCTCTACTTCATTATCTACGTGGCAGTATAATATTCATTGAGGGATTTCACTTGGCATGCCACTAGTTTTAGTTGCCAATGTTTTTACTTTTCCCCAGCATTCTGGATGATTGGCGAGAAGGAACAATTGGAAGCAGATATCTGCTTTTTTTTTTTTTTTCCATTTTGTCTGAAGCAAGAAATGATCCATCAATCCTTTGGATGAGCTGGTCGCAGAAGTTCTACAAGATTAAGTGGAATTCGACGACTTCTTGTGCATCAACCAATAGGGTAGTAGTAGTACTACTACTACAACTTGCTGCTACTATTGTCCAAGAAAAGATCGGCCTGCAAATATTGGTGGCTATTAGCTGGTTGATGTATTTCAACTTTATCACAATTGTCGTTTTAATGATCCAAGTCCGGTTGTTCTTGTTTGAATACAAGGCTTGACAATTATTTGATCAGGACCTGAGAGAATTATTCCAAGTTTTTGATCAAGACACAGATTTGCGAAGACACTCAAGCCAATGGACTAAATCCAGTTTGTACCTCTAAACTCGTGACGTATTCTCTCACTTCATACCGCAATTTCAATTTTGGCCACTTTCCTGGCATAAGCATTTACAATTGTCCCCAATTCAAACCTTCTGTTTATTACAATAAAAGATTTGGATATTACACGGATACACATAGGCATGTCAACATGTCAGATCTTATCCAAATCTAATTTAGATCCATTATACTTGAGTAGTGTTTTGATTTAATTTGTCAAATTCAAACTCTACTTGGACCCGGACTTTGTAAGAGAGTTATGGGTCTTGATAGGATTTAATTTTCTATAATCCAAATCCAAACACACACACACACACATATATAGTAGATTTATAAAAGAGTAAAAGCAAATAAATGAAAGATTGAATGAAAATGCTGATGAACCTTTGAAAATAATTAGCTTTAGTTAATAATAGTTCTTTCTTTGAGTACATAATATTGCATTCAACATCTTGAATG